CACAGGAGTTTTTTTCCTGTTTTTTTAAAATGCATTTTCTACTGCATAGTAGAGCTGTGCAAAAAAATCGAATGCGATGCAGCATTTACTACACAGAGCCGTAGTTCACTGACAAGCTACACAAAATCGCGTTCAAAATTGGCAATGAATCGCCTGCGATTTTGAACGCGATTTTGTGTAGCTTGTCAGTGAACTATGGCTCTGTGTAGTAAATGCTGCTCCATCTGAAAGCACGTGCTGGAAATTTACTACTAATCACCATAAGTGGCTTTACTGACGAGATTCGCGTGAAAATCACATTCGATTTTTTTGCCCAGCCCTACTGCATAGACAACCTACTTTTATTAAAACCCCATCCTGTCAGTGGTGAATTATCCATTTAAATAGATGTGATTTCATACTGGACAACTCTGCACTCTCATAGAGACTATTTTGACTATTTTTCCTACTTTTATAAGTTATTATGGCTGTCAAGAAGAGCCTCTAGAAACAGTTTGATGAACGTTGAAACATATGATTGTTCAGATCTTTGTTGGAAAGAAAATTTAGAGACTGGACCAGCAAGATATTCCTCAGTCAGCATTATTTTCCCCCCACAAAAGGAACAGTCAGTTTTTTTAACCTGTCAGTGGACGTCAAACTCCACCGCAACTCCTTCAGGACTCTCAACAGTTCAGATAAATGCATACCGTCTGATGCCTTGAATAAACAGCACAGTGCATCTGAATGTTTTTTGCGTTTGTGGTTGGTGTTAATACATAACATAATTTATGTAATGTCTAGGGAATGTTTATGCCAAAAGCAACATGAGGACCATGACAGATTGAGTAGATAAAGCCCATTCAGATGTTATGGCACTTCTGAATGTCATGTATCCACAGTTCCAGCAGTTTAGCATGGCCGAGTCCAGCTCTGAGCCACGCGTGGCTGCACCTCGGCTCTCTGCCAGTAAGCAGCTTTGCGCTTCACGCCATCTGCTCCAGCAGTTTGTGTTGGGGAAAACACAGCCCCTCTCGCACCCGTATTAGCAAGATACAGTGATAATAATAAGCTCTCAACCACCTCGTCAATTTGCATTCTTCTCCAGTTTGCCGGCATTGCAATTTTATAGCTGAATCAGAATAGACTTGTGCTTGAAATGCAGATCTTTTTATTTATTAAGAAGTGTCTGCTTGTTTCTTGAAGGTCAGCAGACTGGTGTAAGTTGCAAAGGACATGAGATTAGATTTGGGTGCGTTTACATGCATAATGTAATAATCGTAAACCAATTATTCTTAATAATATGACAATAATATGACAACATGTAAGGTCATGTTAACACCTTAAAACCATGTTGTTTTATAATGTTAAGGTCATACAACACATTATTTTTCTTCCAGCTCCCTGGTTTTACTGGTTTCTTGATGATGATGAAAATGATGATTTCTACATCTCATGTAATGTGGGTTTTTATAATGAGCTGATTTTTGATTGAGGTTAATTCTCTTTATCTCTTGGTGGAGATTTATTGTTATAAATCCTTTATTGTTACTGTTATGGATGGTCTTGCTGGTGTTTCTTAAAAGCAATGAGCGACAAGACTGATGGTGCACCCATTCATCGTGACGTGCCAGACAAGACCTTTTAACCTTGTGGCTTATTGCTTTAGTAAATCTCAGCAAATACTCTGCTTAAAAACTAAATTACTCGTGACTTGTAGGACAAAACTCCCCAGCAGTTTGTGTGTTTGTGTGCTTTTTAAATTTTAAAGGGGTGGTTCACTGGGTTTTTTCTAGGCTTGATTGTGTTTATGGGGTGCAGTCTAACATGTGTTAATGCTTCGTTTAAAAAAAAAAAA